GGAAAAGTGCACCAGACATTGAGGGTAGAAACCTAAACATAACCAAGTTGTAAGATTACATCTTTTCAGTTACAACACAAAAGGGAATGTCTTTCTTTAATCAAACTTTCAGGACAAATATTTGTTATCAGGGAAAGTATTCAAAAATGAGGTTTTCAAACTAACCAAAAAAACAAAGTGGACAAAAATAAATAAATAAAAATGAATACCAGGAAAAAAATTGTTCGACTAAAATGAACACTATATTATAATAATGATAAAATTGATAAATACAGAAACCCTAAAGAAAACCCAACACGGCAAAATTGAAAATGTTGCAGGCTCGGTTTGATTGAGCCTGTTCATGGACGGTACTGGAAAGTGCAAGTTTCCGCCCACGCCCCCTAGCACCGGCTTAAGCAGAATTCAACATTTAAACAGTCTTTATATAAATTCCAACATATTTATGCAAGAAACTCTCAACAAAATCGTATGCATTCCTTTTTATTCGCTTTCAACTCCCTTTGATTAAGATAAATGGCTCTTTTGATGAAAACAAATAATGAAATAATATTAATAACTAAAGACAAAAATCTAAGTGCGCCATTTTTTCTAAATCTAAGCTGTTTTAAGCTCAACTGGATGCCTAAAGCCAATTTGAAGATATAATGAGTGCAGCTGAGTTTGATTATTCATTGGCATAAAATACATCGTGGACACATTGAGACAATGGTGTAGCAGTACGCTTATATTACTTTCTAAGGCTTTCTAGCATGCATTTTAGTCTGAATGTATTTGGCTTACCACATATTGAGACAATTATATGGTATCACAAGTCTATTTCCTGTAATAGGAAGTGTGCACGTTAACATAAATAAGTCAAGTGATCGGAAGTAACGCATGCTTGTGATCACAAGTCATGATACACATTTTACTGTATATGCTTACAATGTACAAAAATTAGTTTATCTACTGTGATTTTACTTCAGTTGCTTATCATGACTCCGTCTACAAACTGATCAAAACATATAAAAGAATGTACATTTGCAATACATACATGCATTTTCATGTCAGCTATGCACAGTATCTCCTATGTTTATGCTAAATAAACTCTATGGCATATTATCTTATAATAGCAATTAAACGTTATAAACATAATAATAGAAATATATTTTATACATTCAGACAATTTTATTCATTTTAACTGATTTCAATGCAATAACAGCTTATGGTCGTTGGTCTATATCATGTTTACAGGCTAAATAACTAGTTTAGATAAATATCATTGTCATTTTGGTGTCAAATTATAATTCATTGATTGCCTTTCTAAGTGTTTGTGAATAATAATTGTACTGACAATACAACTCGTTTGTTGTTGCGTATCCCAGAGAGGTTTATTGATACGATTAACTGAAAAAAACATACATAAATGTTATACAATACAAAGATATTAATATCATTTGACTAGATTTACAAAATTATAACAAGATAAGACTATAAGTGAGAGTTGCTAAATATTGTCCAAATTAATTTTAACAGAATAAAGAAACTGATTTAAAAGAAACATTTGTCACTTATATTTACCTAGCTTTTTTAATAACAATGTTCTAGTCACCTTAAACTTGTCGTAAACAAAACAAAACTTCTCTAACACGTAATCTAGAAATGTCTTAAATTCAACAATATATGATATGTAAATACGTTTAGTAAACGATCAGAATCTGCAGACAGGGGAAAAAACGCCGTATGATTGCAAAAGAAATCAATCAATATCACGTTAAATCCACAGACAACCGTACTGACATAAAGGATGCGTATTCTACATAAATACTCTAATTTATCCCTACCAAATTTGAAGTATGACGCAGTGTTCTCAGTACAGACAACGACAAAATATCTGGGAATTCATTTCCCTCTATAAAAATCGGAAACTACTCTCTAAAAAAAGGAGATTCTTTTATTCGTCCCTAAATATTTTCGTATTTCACGAACATTCGCACCAGAGAAATAGGTTACAAACTACTAAAACCTTAGTTTGTGTTACAAACACTAAATTGCCACTAACGGAGGTTACAATAATATTGTTCTATTCTATTTCTATTGACTTAAGTCATATCATTTTTCTTTTTGACAATAATATTTAAATGTGTATTAACACAACTGCTGTATATTACATAATGATTGAATAAGAAAGCTGTATGACGATATCCACATATACGAGTAAAGAGCATGTAAATATAATTGGTACAGTAATAACTTAAACTTATTCTCATCTAATTTATATAAAAGGTCAAAAACAGCATCAAATAGTACAAATATCTCAAAAACATACTTCTGACTTATCTTTCGTAATTACGAATTATTATTACATACAAAACGAATTAATTCCGTGGAAAAAAGTGTGGACCTTAAGGGCTCGTAAAAGGGTCATTTCAACTTTTGATGTTTCTTTCTATTTGTTCATTTAAAATGAAGTAACCTATTTTGTTGTTCTACTTTTTTGAATCCGCAAAGGAATGTTTGCCACACAGAATTCCAATTTTAACATATTTGATAAAGACATTTAATTGAAAGACATTTTTGTAATAGCATACTATAAGGTAGTCGCCTTGAACACTACATCATGCAACTATTACACTGAGTGTCTTGAAAATTACAACAAACATTGTTTTTTTGTACACTTTTTATCTCAAATGTTAATATCCTTCATGAGGGCAATTTTCGTGAAAAACCTGATTGTTATACTGATTGATAAACTGTTTTGAGAAAAATTTGAATTACAAAAGTAATAAGCAGATAAAGTGCATTATCTACTGATTGGATTAAGAGGAAATAAATTGCATCAAACCTTATCAAAAGCCAAACAACCAATATGTCAATGAATGTAGTTTTAGACATTTAAAGGGATAAAAAGACAAGATATTATCTTATTATGAACAAAGATAATTCAATAAGTTTGCTCTTATTTGATCTTAAAGGTAAGATGAACATTAAATGTAAATGTGATATTTTTGTCGTATACACACAAAAACATAAAGATCTTTTTGGTATGCTGTTTGAGTTTTGTAAGTTATCAAAAAAATACAGAAAAAGAGAAACTGTAACATGCCGGGAGGGGACAGACAATCCTTGTACAATTCAGGAAAAACGTGCATGAACTAAATCCCCTTTAAGGGCTAGCATTTGTTTCTATGAGCAAACAACTTTCCACTTATACATTTTCTCCACACAATCGAAGTACAGTAAATATTGACATGAACAGGCACCTGAGAAGAACAACAGACGCTCCGTAATCTAGCTGACAGGATCGTGATCAGGTGCAAGTAATTTTAAGTCAAGGGCCTTCACCAGTCGGCCACAGGTTACTTATAATGATTAATATTTCATAAAAAATATTGAATAATGTTGTCATAACACTATTTATAACCATGTAATATGATATAATATGTTATAATATATATGATATAATCAGTGGTGATTTTAATACTGCGTTAAAAAGCTAACATTTCAAAGTCTGAATTTGATCTGTTTTAAATGTATTACCAATTGTTGCCTTTAGAGTGACATATTTACATGTCAAGTGTCATTGTAAATAGCACATCAATCTCTACCAATTAAGATATCAAGTAAGCCGAGCGATGAGTATCTGTTAAGTGTGGCTGTTGGACTTGATGATGTCTTTAATCAATTGCAACTAGAATGTCTCGCAATTCTGGGGTTTTCTTTTCGTTTTCACTGTGAGTGTCAATGAAGACACTCATTGAAGAACATTTTAGGTATAAGTTCAGAAAAAAAACTCTGGCATGAATCCTTGCCATTTGTAAGGATCAGTGGTCGATTATGCGTTCAGGAAGGCGGAAGTCAGTGATTCAAGTCTTTCTAATGAAATGAGCAAGAAATTAACCCGATTTGCTTAACTGCACCCAGGCATAAACCTTAATATTTGAGTTGGGTTAAATCTGAAGTCGAATAGAGGTCTGTAATTAGCCAAGTGATAGACTTCCTAGAAGAATAAATAGCTTGATGCAAGCAATTAATTTAGAGATGATGTCACGTGTATGAAATGTAAATCGTAGAATGCATTTACAATATGATTTTTAATACAAATACACATATAAGGCAAATACAGATATAAGGAAATTGAAAATTGTCACGGCTAACCTGTTACAGGAATCCTATAATTCATTTCTATCTGTCGATATTGAGAACAGTTTTTAACGTCAACAGGTGTTTAATTATCGGATACTCTCAGTAAGGTGACGGAACGTTTTCAGCTGCGCTAATGATTTACAATCGGTAAAACAATCCGTCTTAAAATCTTTATAACGTTTAATGTTGAGAGCTAGCTTTAACATGAAAATAGTCTGTTACTTATTGTTTACATTTGCGGTAAACATGATTGACAATGCACTTACCATAGTTTGAAATATTAAGTTTTATACATTCATATTCTTTGCTCTACTATTGTGATGCTTATGCATGTAATGTAAAACAACATAATTATACGAAATAGCATTTTGATTGAAAATGTTCACAAGCGACAAAAGTAAACAAAGTTTAAACATTACAAGCATACAAATATAAACGACCTTGACTTGTTTTGTTCCAGCAACTTTATTTAGCCAATTTGGTGATGTTGAAAAGACAAGCAGAAATAAACTGTGTACAATTAAACAGCATATGTCCCCCGTGTCACTATTTTAAGCAACGGCTTATTATTTCATTTGTACATTTGTTGTTTTTACAGTCATTAATGTCATATGGTGACTTTTGTTGTATCTTAGGCACACTCAAGGACAAAGTTGACATCAGGAACATTCTGTTAGATAGGATTGTGTTTTTTCTTTAAATAAAATAACGTTCAAGATGTGCTTTTTTCAACTAAGGATTGAGGGTTGCATTCCAAATAATTTTTCAGTACTTCAAAAAACAGTACAAACAAAGAGGAATAATGACAAAAGACGCCAGTTCTGTTAGGAATATGTATCTTTTATTCAATTATATTTCCATTATATTTTTAGGTATTTTGTGATAGTTATGCCAATGCAAAGTAGACGGAAGTGTACGATAGGTTATACCCGGAAACTTCTTGTCATCGTATGGATTTTGTCGACGTTTTTGTCGGCACCGGCGCTTTATGTTAAGGTAATATATTACATATAATCTTTGAAATTTGCTTATCAAAACGTTCAGTTCTTTAAAGAAACTCAACATATACATATAAACAGTTTTAAGGAAAAACTTTGTCAATATGTTTGTTTTATATTTTTTCAAAAAATATGGAATATAGAATTTGTTTTATTCATATCTAAATTCAATGCTTGTATTGGAACATTCAGTTCTAAGTTACATTCAATCTTTCAAATCAATTGGTTTTAAATTTTAAGAATTGTAACACAGTCCTGAGAATACAGGATGATTCTATTTCAATTCTTTATGTTACCAGAGTACAGCAACACACATATTTCATTCTTGTTTGACAAGCCCAAAAGGCTTAAAACCATTTTCAACATATATCTTATTACAAATAAATAATAACTAAAATTTGCGACGTTGGCCAATTCTATTCGCTTATGGAAGAGAACGAAAAAAAAAATTCTACAAATTCAATATCAATTTGTCAAAATTAAGGATATACTTTACGTTAATAATTTGTCAAAAATGCTCTGACAGTTTGCTACAGGATTGGCGACACATACATCATTACCAAAAGCTTTCACATACATTTCTGTCATTCTTCTTTACTCAAGAAATGTATGAGAGTTTTAAATGGAAATACATCCAAACTAGTGCATAGATACCTGCATCAAACAGAAAGAAAATTATTTTGTTTTATTCAAACTACATCAAGCGATTCTCTTTTGACCACTAGCTTGTGATACTGTACACATAAAGCTCTAGTTTTTTTTTTACTAAATGCTAAGAAATGCATAAATAAAATCAATCATGCCTTATTCTTGCAAACAATCAAGAACAACACAAATATAATTTTCTTTCAACATGATACTTTTATCTTTACCCATAGGACACACAGCAGACGACATACCGGAATAATGACAGCTCTGTGACGCTAGTTTTCTGCTCGGATCACGGTGTGAAAGATCACGAGAGATTGTATTTTGCAATCTACCAACTGATGATCATGTTTGTAATACCCACAGGATCCATGACATTCTGCTACGCCGTAGTTATATATGTGCTTTGGATAAGTGGACGAACTTTAATGAATCTGACCTCAACTTCACAGACGTGCGTATAATCATAATGTTTATAACACATTGCTCTATAAATCAATAACTTGTACCAAAGGTAAAAGTTGGAACTTGAAGCATACATTTTCATAATATAAAGAGAACTATAATAAACGATTTTTACCAAAGGTAAAAGTTGGAACTTGAAGCATAAATTTTTTTAATACAAAGAGAACATTAATAAACGATTTTTACCAAAGGTAAAAGTTGGAACTTGAAACATACATTTATGTGATACAAAGATAACTTAAATAAACGATTTTAAGCTGTTAACTGTAAACCGTTTGATCTATTGTTGTATGGAATTTGAATGATTAAAAATTTTGTATTGTAAGGAATATTTCATTTCAACAGTATGAATATTAACGTATTGTAAAAAACGTACATTGAATAACAATACCTTATGAACAGAATGTTTTGAAAAGTAAACAAGATTTTAACAAAATAGATTTTTTTAAACTGTTGAATTATTGATTAATCACGAAAAATAACATGAAAATTGCAAAGTCAGTTCAGACTCGACTGAGCCTGTTATTGAAAGAAACGTTCCGTTTATCTTAAAAACTATAAAAAATAACAACAACAACAAAACAGAATATAATAAAACTAAATAAATAAAAATAAAAATATTTACTAATTTTTACATAAAAGGTGTAGGAGTATACCCCTTCGAGACTCAAATCGCAACTCTAGCGGATCGTCCTCAGAAGGAACACCGGTCCGACCAAGTAGTAGAAAACGCATGGTGAGAAGACAATATACGTATGCCTCTTCAAACGTCTCCATAAGGGAGTCTATAATCAAAGGAAGAAAACAGGTACTATTTGGTTTGCAACATTGTATGAACAATCAACCCATTCTTATCATTGAAATGGTGTACGATTTTATTCAGTATCTGTATGTATTTTCAGTAACGCAAAACATTTAAAATATATCATTTGATATTTCGTTTGAAATATTTCCTGAATAAAAGTAGATTACTTCTAAAATGATTTAGTTTAACAGTTATATGAATAAAAACAATAATAAGATGTTGTTCTAAAACACCATTTCTTTCTATTTATTGATATGTCATATTGGATTGTATTCCTCACACTTACCTGCAAAATTCATATATAATTATTTTATGTTTTGTTCACGTAATATATCTAATACTGTCAATATTATCATGTATTGTATTACAGATTTTACATAATAATTCACTTTTAACTGTAAGGTTTTATATGTTTTAGGTAATCAAAATGCTGATCACAGTTATACTTGTGTTTCTAATATGTTGGGGACCTCAACTTTTTTTTCGAATCATCAAATATTCAGAATATGGAGTTCACATTTATACGGAGACACATTTCAAGCTACAGGTAAGATAACCAAAACAACAATTTTCTTGAATTCAAGTTGTTGCTCAATGAATACTAAAATAATAAGCTGAACAATATATATGTGTAGTGCATTTGGATTTATTTGAATCTGTTTATCAACATCGACAATACACTATATGATGTGTGTCCCTGTAGATATTAAAATACTGCAAAACTTTCCTGAATATAGCCTGTATATATTGAATCGATTCAAACATTTAATTCACATATACAATATAACAAACTATTAACTGTACCTGTTTTAGCACATTCACTGACCGTGTTTTTCTTTTTCAGATTGCTTTGTATTGCCTGCCATACATACATTCTTGCCTTAACCCAGTTATTTACGGCTTCATGTCTAAAACGTTCAGACAAAGTGTCGTGACGTCATGTAATAATACCGTGCTCTTGTCAAAATGTAGACAAAGGAGATCACCAATTGCTGAACTTGAGCTCGAATCAAAATACATCAATGGCACTTTAATGACAAAAGCTTTACGGCAAAGTACCTCTAGCGAGTGATATGAAATAATATTAATAGTAAACTTATTTAATTATACAATTTATTTCAAGCTCTACCACGTTACAATTATTTACTGGCTTTATATTTATAAAAATCAATTATTATTTGGAAGTACTTCAATCACAAAGTCTTAAAATATAGCAGAATACAGTTATTGTATGGTGACCTTAGCAAGTGTTCATTGCCTTTTTAGTTAAAAAAGCTTCTTATTTTCGACTTACATTAAAAAAAGAAGATACGTACGTAATACAAATTATCATAATTTGTCATCTTTGCCTCACTGATTTAAGCCTGTACTTTCATATATTATTTTTCGTTGTACTGTTTTTCATTGCCAAATAAATATAAATTACATACATTCGAAATATTTGTAATAACATTTTGTATACACATTCAAAGGCGCACATCTTTAAGATTCAAAACTAGCTTACAATTTCTTTTTATACATGTGACGTCTAAAGGTTTTCGACAAAAAGGTTATTAAATTAAGAAGACTTTTTACTTTTTAAATTAATTTTAAATGAATGTTATTTACGCTAAAATGTAATATATAATAAACAAGACCAACAAGGAAAGGCGGCGTTCAACGATTGCAACCCCCACACGGCCCAGCAACAGGAACCAATAGAAAGGAGCCAAGGAGGAACCAAACAAAACTGTAAAACTGTGTGAACTGTATACTGAAGTTACATTTTATGTATAAGTAACAAGCAAGCTGTATGGCACATATTTTGTTGGTTGTTTTCGTGTAAGTTTTAGTTCTCATTGTTTTCAAATAGAAAATAATACCACTTTGCAATATTGCATATACTAAAGACATTCATTAAAATGAGATTCACCCAATTTTTAATATTTATAACCAGTGTGTGGGGATGGTGAAGGTTTTAGCTGTTGAACTCTTTATGACTAGGTTTGAGAGTTTGCCCTGTCCTGCTATTATTTAAGGGTCCTCCTGGGCTCCTTGTCGCTGGTTCTTGTTGTTTGGTCGTGTGGGGTTGCGTTCATTGAACGCCGCCCTTCTTTGTTGATCTTGTTCATCATATTTTAAGATTTTTTTTGTCTAGGCAATGCCATTTAATTTGTTGTTTTTTTACATAAGACAATTACAGATGTATATCTAACTAAATAATTAGTAAGGAATTAGTAAATATTATGATTGGTAAAGAATGCAATAAAGTATTGACCAATTTTGTACAAGGTCACTTTTATCACAGCCAATATGGAATTTTTGAAAATACACGAGGCGGCTTGGCCGGATAGATAACTAGTTATTTAATGACAGCCACCTGCATTGGTTCAGAATCCGTCATGGGTTTCTTCAGCAGCAGAATTTACAATTATAACTCAGTATTAATTGAGTCGTTTAGGAGCCTATTAGAGAGTGTGTGTATAAGATAGCTTGTAGCTGTCTACACAAACTAAATAAGTTCTGAATACACTTAACACTTAACTTTGTAATATGAAGTAGAGTTTTGTAAAAGATATTGCCAAAAATGAGTACATTGACTGTCAAGTAATTTATGAGGATACCTTTTTGAATAATAAAAGGACAAGATCAGAGTCATAGGAAAACTGGACATTTACGAAGACATGCATATTGTATTATTGCATCTATGTTAGATTGTTTTTTAAACTATTAGCTGTTTTGCTCAAACCAAATGTTCATAATGTGAATAAAGAGTACAATCAAATATGTTTTGCATTGCATTATATCCATTTTTCTTGCCCATTAATGGCTAATACGCTGCGAAGAAAAGCAACCATACCAATTTCGTAGAAATGAGGTAAAAACATGTTTGTTTGTTTTCATTTTTACTAGAACAAAAAATACAGCTTTCTTAAATACTCGTGTTTAGTTCATACCTATTTTGTGTTTATACTTGCCTGCAAAATTTTTCTAAAGAATATATATGATCTTTACATCCCGTGTAACAAGGACCATGGCAATAAAACACTTTTATCATTCTCCTTTGTCAATAGTAGCTGATTATTTTATAGTTTTGTTATATTAACAAATGTTATGACATGTTTTATATTATTTCTTTTCTATGATAAAGGTTCCAATATATATATCCCCATGTAAGTAAACCGCAAAGTGTCATATTTTCTAATAATATTGCAAATATACAGCAGCGTAACGAACAATCTTATTGTATCGTAAGAGATATAGCCATAGTTATAGATATCCATATTTATTATAAATACATATATTATTTATCGCTGGATGTATTGTATGGATTCATTTATAGCCTAAATAATCTTATTTGTAAAATAACCATTACTATGCTTTGATTTACCATTGTAACCTTATACTTTCTCGCGAATTACTAGGGGGTATTTTCAGAATTATTAACATCAGGGAGAAAAGACAAAAAGATGTACAAAAAATATTCAACTCGTTGATTAAAAGTGTAATAAACGTAAAGTTATTGAGGGACATATGAGCTTTACTCATGTTTGTTTGTTTGTTTCATTTTACGCCTTTTTCCAACAGTATTTCAGTTATATAGGCGGGTAGTTTCCTAACCATCGTTCCTGGAGAGTTACACCAGTACTAGACTACCTTCCTCCGCGCTAAACTACCAAAGCATCTCCCGGGGATCGAACCCACGCCAGAGAGGTAACTGGATTAGAAGTCATCGACTCTAACCCCTCGACCACGGAGGCGGCTCTTTACTCATGTGAATGATTAGTTAAGAGTCGGTACCTATGAAGAATAAGTGACTTTTGAAAACTAAGCTAAATACCTTTTTGGCGTTGATATTAAGGGATTCCGTTTCTTAACTTTCGACGCCAACAGAATGTGCAGTCATGCCATATTAATCATGTACTAACTATTGAATGGGACAATTATAGTTTTTATTAAACTGGAACTCGGATATGCTGTTGGATCAAAGGCGCGTAATTAAATTTAAAGAGAGAAAAGGTAAGCATGAAACCAGTGACTCAGTGCCGTTATATTCCTTTCATCAAGATTTGTGTCAATGATAAGAAAATTACGAGAAAATAACATTAACAAACTAGAAGAATACTACATTCCTTCACTTTCATTAATACCGTATGTATTTAACGTACAATGTTACTTTATGCCGGCTCGCCACGGCGAGCCGGTATTACGTTAGGATTTTACTGAAAAACAACCTAAAACTCCGAATCCATCCAAAAATTTAATCGAAGCTTGGCTTCCAGCTTCCTACAAAATTTATTTATCAGGGCTAGGATCCAAAATTATTTAGCCAATCAAATTTAATCTTACATAGCGTCAAAAAACCTTCAATTTTCACGCCATTTTTAAAAAGCAGCAAGTATTATTTTGAGCGCAAAGATATAATGATGATTAAAATGTTTGTTTTCATGATTTCTTTTCAAAAAATCATATTTACACTGACTTTTGTTTTAGCGATCTCACCTGTTCCTCTGTAGTAAGTTTTCGTTTGGTTAATTAACATAAATGTACATCTGGTTCTGTGCATTTTTTTCTTTTTCCTTTTTTCCGGTCATTTTATCCTTGATCGGTATTTAGTGTATATATTTATTGGCCGGGGTCCGGTAGGTCCGGACTGGCCGGGATCCGGGATCGTATAAGATATAGAGGAAAAACTAATAAACTATATTTGTATTGATTATTGTCGTAATGAAAGGACATTAAACGTTAAGTTTTTTTTTATTGTATGTAATGAACGTTAAATTAATCAAACTTAGGATATAAATATATTTAGAGGTATTTATTAACAAACTTAAAATGCGGAAATCCCAATACTTATAATTATATGCCTAATTAATTGGAAAAATCAAAGACTACATTCTTGAATTGGTCAAATCCCGGGATCCCTTTATGTTTTAATGCGATCCCAGCTTTTCTGAAAACTATATTCTTGAACTGGCCAATTCCTGGGATCTCTTTATATTTTAATACGATCCCGGCTTTTCTGAAAACTATATTCTTGAACTGGTCAATTCCCAGGATCCCTATATGTTTTAATAGGATCCCGGCTTATCTGAAAAACATCTTAGACTGGTCAAAATCCGGGATCCCTATATTTTTTTAATAGGATCCCGGCTTTTCTGACAACTTGTGTTTACTTTAGGACTTGTGTCTGTCACTCATTCCAATACTAAATAACATTTTACAACTTAACTTCGTATAAAGAGACATCTTTATGAATTCTACCTATCTAAGATTTATTTGGTCAAGGTCAACAGGCCATACAGTAAATGTGCATAGACATAGGGACTTCATTCTATCTGTTTACATGCATCTTCATATATACTCATATTCCTCTTTGTTAAACTTAGAGAACTGGCTTCCATAACTTTATTTCACTTTTATTTTGATGTTCGCTGAAGTCTCTTCAGCTAACAGAACTATCATTTTTACATTTAAACGCACCTCTGGAAAAAAATTACGAAGCGAGTCGCTACTAGCTTTTTTAAAAGCTAACCTTGTAATTTGATTAAAGTAGCACGAGTACACATCGATTTATACACTTACATTTTTATCGATTTATTATTCTGTACGCTACAGTTACAATACATTAAACAACATAATTAAGATTGCCTGTAAATATGACCACTTCCGGTGACGTTTTCGAGCAAATACACGAATGTGCATCACTAAGAAAACGTGTTTCTAGATCCGACTTATACAAAAACGTGAATGATGTCCCTTACGCTCTTTGAATATAAAATTGCGATACACTAAAATTCATTGTGATATGATATTAGCACAAATAATTAGTTTATGTAGTTATGAATGATCACTCTTTTTTTTCCAGATGTTAACTTCACATCAGCAGGTATTAAGTGCTGTATGGCAGCTGTAAAAAGTTGCCCCATACTGAACTTCAATGTTGTTATATTTTTCTGTTCCTTCGAGATCAATGATTCAAACACTATTAAAAATTGACTACCATATAAGCTGGTCCTAGGAGACGTTAGGAATGTCGTGCAGTTTCATTATTTCCCGTGTACAGACTCAATCAAACAATGTCTGCAATGTTTATGTAATTTTTGTT